AGAAAATACCGATACAGTCCCTGAAGTCCTAAATACAACAAACCGAGAGAGCGAGCGAGCGGTCCTGGCGGAAACAACAAACAACTTACCGGCACCAGACGAGTCCAGGTTTCCACTTGATTCCACTGACCAAATCCAAGAAACAATTAAAGAAGCACAAAACAAGAACACAAAAAGAAGTAGAAATACGTGGATGAGAGTTTGGTATTCCTGGGCAAAGTCACGTCAAATCAACGAGAGTATAGAAACAATGGCGCCCGCAACTTTAGACGGAGTCCTCCAAAAATTTTATCTGGAAGTGAGAAAGCAAGACGGCTCAGAGTATGAACCGGACTCACTTAAAGTTATGCAAGCGGCCCTGGAACGGTACCTATCCACCCAGAAATATCCATACAGTCTGATAAATAGTCTGGAGTTCTCATCTTCAAGGGCTGTTCTTGAAGCAAAAGCAAAACAACTACGAATGAATGGTTACGGCAAGAGAAAGAATCGCGCCCTGCCGTACAACTCTGCCGAAGAAGAGTCCTTCTGGTCAAGTGGTATGTTAGGCGACCATGATGGAGTGGCTCTCACAAACGTTAACTTCAAAAATTTGTCCGAGCACTTCGGATTTCGTGGCCGTCAAGACCATTACGACGCTTATGTACAAGATTTTGAAGTTGCGTGGATCCAGATCCAGGGAAGAGAATTGGCAAAGTGCGTTCGTTTCAATGAAAATCCAACAAAGACCCGTTCCGGTGGCCTTTCAGCAAAACACAGAAAAACTCCTCAAGAGATGTGGGCCACAGATGGTGGACCAAGAGATCCAGTCCGGCTTTTTGAAGAATTTCTGAGAAGGCGTCCATTAGAAATGCGAACCTCTGGGCCTTTGTACTTGGCAATAATACAGCGTCCGAAAACCGAAGTTTGGTATGCCAAGTCCAGGATGGGCGAACACAAACTTGGCAGCATTATGAAGACCCTAGCACAGACGATCAGCATTGATAGAAAAAAGATTTCAAATCATTCCACCAGAAAAGCAGTTGTCGCCAAATTGAAGAAAGCCGGACAACCAAGGCACAAAATAATTCAAATCACGGGCCATGCAAACGAAACCTCGCTCGATGACTACGACGAGATTGATGAAGAAGAAAGGAGAACTCTGTCACATATCATAAGCGGCTATTCTGGACCATCCACAACGACAAGTTCTTCCAAAGCATCACCGCCAAGCTTGAATTCATTGCCAGTTCCACCTTCAACAGATGTTGTTGTGCCATCGAGCAAATATGCAACGTCTTCATCAACTTCGCTACGTGCAGCCATCAGCCAAGCAAGCGCTTATTCTCTCGCCCATCAGTATTCTAACGTCCAGTCTCCAATTACACGAACAAACGACCCAGCAGTTCAGCTATTCCACAACTGCACTGTAAACATCCAAAACTACTTTGGGCCGCAGTCAACAAATCAAGCCAGTTCTTCGAGAGTAGAATGTCAGATCGGCGAGATAACAAGCCCAAGTATTCCAAGACGAAAGCGTAAACGAGCTTACATTATTGACTCTGATGAAGACTGAATTTTAACACTGACTGTTTTCTCTCACATACTTATTAATTTTGTCTAAATATTCCTGCTTGAAAAGTTAAAAGCTGTTAACCATGTGAGCCGTTCTCGAAAATGTCGCCCGTAACGAAAGTGTTTTATGAGCGGGTGATCTCGTACACCTTATTTGGTAATGTTGAGTTAGTTGTCAATCACTTGTCAGTTCAAACAAGTTGTACCATTTCCGGTTCCTTTGGGACTTGCAATCTGTATTAAAGCTGACGCGACAAGCTGTACTTCAATTACATTACTTTTAAAAATTCTCCCATTTTGTTCAAATATTGACGGACATGTATTTTAATTAAAAATATACTTTTTTGAAAAATGATCTTCATGCGGTCGGGCTTCCACATCCAAAGTTGAAACCAGTCATTTTTTTGCTTTGGAATCTATTTCTTACGTTAATAAATATTCCAAGACTGAGATTCTCGCATTTTGTTATTGGCACAATTAATTGGTAATAGGACTTCGTGTCGTACAATTCAGGGGTAATCAGGCTCGTAATTTCAAATCGGCCTCGCGCTACGCGCTCGGCCGATTTGAAATCACTCGCCCGAGTACTCCCTGAATTGTACGACACGAAGTCCTATTACCATTACTTATTTTAGGGTGCTGGCCAATTATAGCGGAGCTCTGGCGCGCGAAGCGCGCCTGCGGAGCACCATGGGTAAGTAAATCTATCCATCCCAGAAAATTTGGTAATCAGGTGACCGTACACCGCCCGCCCGCCCGTCCGTCCGCACCACAGGGACACCAGTGTTTAATCCTCGCACTTTCTAGCCAGTTTGGGAGCACAGGAAGACTGATGTTGCACACATATTGCACATCAATGTTGTGATCAATTGACAGCTGTCAAAACAGGGTATCCGCTGACCAGTATCACGTGACCGTATCGCGGGCTCAGGTTTCAACTCATCGAGGTCGAATATCTTTTTGAAGTTATCCGCTGACAAGTTACTTGTTTTCAAATGATTGCAGGCTCAAGTTTATTTGTTTTTAATTCATATGAAATATGTTGTGTTTTTGTATGTGCCGCACCTCGGAAGCTAAAATTCAGCCAGTTTTTACAGGCAGGGAACACATGCCAGTTGCTTTTGACTTTTCTCACCAAGGTCACGCGTTGGTCACGCTCTTCGCCCAATTTTTATGCTCTGATTGGTCAAAATTTGAAAGGTGAGTTCATGCGGAAAATTTAGGCAGCATCTTGAAACTTGTTTACTTTGCTGAAGCTGACAGAGTTTTGTGTCAACTTGTGACGCTTTTAACTGTCTTTATCCACTGAATATACAAAATGAAATTCAGCTGCTATCAAGAGTCTTCTGTTATTCATGGCTAGTTTGTTTACTGGGTTTTTGGTTGAGAAATATGTCGCTTGTCAAAGTCGGAAATCCGATTTCGGATGGCATCGTTTTCGTTTTCCACCTTGCTTGATGCGTAAGAGGGTTGAAAAGTCTGAAGCGATTCTGGCCTTACTTGACAGTTTTCAGTGCATCTCGAATGGTAAGCCTGAGTTATTATTGTATTTGACGTGTGTTTTTTATATCTAATTTAATGAAGTCGAGCGTAGTTTATGCGGCTATTTAGTTTATGCACGTCAGTTTAATTGTAAGATTTGAGACAATGATCCGACCGAGTATCAGGTTTGATTATAAGCTTATAGAACTTTAAAAAGCCTTTAGACATTTTCCCACCGCAAATAGAAAGAAAATATTCCAAAGAATATTTAGTTATAATTCTGGCTGTAAAAGAAAGCTTTGAGCGATTTTCTTGCCTCGAGTTCATCTTTGAAAAAGCAAACACCGGGAAACCGGCTTACAAAATGAAAAACATAAACAAGGCTTTTCAGAGACACTTTAATACTTGTCTTCGTGAATGAAAATTGTTGTCTCTGTATACGTTTCACCGAATTATTTTTCTTTAATTGATTGTTAGTAGTCTTTGCAATTTTTATCTCTGTGCCGTTTGTTTTCAGTCGCTCAGGAACATCGCTTGCATGCAGGAGTAGTCAAAATACCGCGCGTATCAAACGCTGTTGACGATTACACATCGTTATAAAACCATTAAATAAAAAATAAACACAATAAATTCTTTATTATGTTGAAGCGTATAACTTTATTAATCATAATTTAAACAGTCGACTTTGGCGCTTGTCAAAAGTGAGAACCGGCTAGCCGTATAGCTGATTTTGGAAATTTTTTTAATGGTTTCGCTAAAAGCCCACACGTGCTTCGATCTAAGGCTATCAACTCGATGTAAGATTAAGTTCACTCTTAGCTTGGACTGTTTGCAAATTACTTTTCTCTAAAATGACTTAGCCTTTCCCTCAAAAGTCACATGAATGTGATCTACAGTTAACTGAATTGTGGAAAACAAGTTTACTTTTTGGTTTAAATTATAAATTCGAGTTAGGTAATATATAGGAGCTTCGCTTTTAGCCGTGGCTAAATCTATATATTACTTATGAACTCGGTGCTGTAACACCAGTGGGAGATATTTTAGAGCATGCAGTGTAAGCTGCCAATGAAAACACCGCTGGATCTGCTCTAAGTTCAACCTCTTTAGGTTTTATTGTGAAGGATTCGTGGGGAGATGCCGTTATTCATGCTCGGAGAGGTCCTAGGAAGCAACAGCAGAGCGTTTACTTGAATGTGAAGAAAAAAGATTCAACCCACTATAGTGGCGATGTGGATGGCCTCATTCCTCTTTCTCAGGCACTTGCTGATCTTACGGTTCCTGACGATTGGAAAGTTGTACGAGACAAGCCACACTATTGGTGTATAGTTCGTGTAGAGGCATGGGAGGTCAATAACGCAAGAGTATCCACCGAAATTGTGATTGACCAGGACGGGAAGACAGGACTCTCATTCGTCAGCGTAAAGGCACACGGATGTCAGAGGGATTTGAGCAACATCCCGGGATTTGCGGCAATGTCGTTACTGGGCAGAGTTAATTTGGCACTGGACTATGATCAGAAATCCTCGTTTTGCAAGGGAGTATCCCTCTCAGATGAAGATTCTCTGCAAGATTCTTTGGTTCCTTATGTTACAGGGTCTTTTAAAGACCTGTCGAAAGAAAAGCAGGAAAGATCAACAGTCGCTTTCTCCTCAAAGTGTAAAATGTTCTGTGTACAAGGATTGCCCTGTTGAGGGTGTAACCATTTGTTGAAATTACACAATTTAAAAAAGATGCGACGGGAAAAACGTAGCGGGGTACATCGCAATTGTAACAAAAGGTACATGAGAAAAGAAGACGTCGTGTTGCAACTAAACCAGCAAAAGAAGCAATGATTCAATGCAGAAAGAAGGGAAACATACTGGAGGGAAAAATTTGAAACTGAATCCCTGCAGTTAGAGGAAGAGGATCACAGGGATCTGTCCACAATCTTACACAACATAGACAAGTCTAAAGTTCCACATGAAATGGAATGCCTCTGGACCCAACAGACAAGTATCGCGGCCACCAAAAGTAAGCGGGGTTACAGATGGCACCCAAAGTAAGTTATTTTCCGCAGGTGTATCTGTATAATAGGTGTTACATAAGTACTTTACCGAGAAGGTAGAAAGTAAAATGAAACTACAGTAAATGGCAGGAAAAAAAATACGCTTATTAGGTTACCCTAACCATCAGGCCGTGGGCGAAGCGGTCGTTTGTGCACCTAGTATGTTAAAAGTTTGTTTTAATATGCTCCCCCACGAGTTCCCCCTCAGCTATGCTGACCAATGCATAGCAGTCAGTGTTAGCTTGTGCCTACGTAATTTCATTCAATAACGCTTAATGAATTTTTCTTTGACAATATTATTTTACAGGATCATCAGATTGTGCATTGACCTGTATTGTAAGAACCCCCACGTCCTTGACCCCCTTAGGAAATTTATCATTCTTCCAAGCAACCGCACTATCAGGTAACCTTGTTTGTGGCATATCATTTGACACGACCACACTTGACCTTTTACATTTAAAGATGATCTCATAATGAAAACGTTGAACATGTTTACCTTTTAATTTAGAAAAATCAAATTAAATGAAAAGCCATGTTCAATAATTTCACAGACTCTATAAGAACAAAGTAGAAGAAAAACCTGGCTGGAACGATCAAGCGCTAAAATGGTGCCTGGAGACTGCACAAGAGAAAAATCTCAGGGAGGAGGATTACTGGGGAGGCTTTGTGATAGACGAAATGAAAATTCAGGTTTGTATCGGAAAAAAACTTATCTGCTATATTACTAAATCGGTATGTTGGATCGCTCACACAGCCAGAAGGATTTTGACCGACAGGTTACGTGGCCTGGGATAGCCTGTATATATGAAATACTTCTTTCAAGTGCATTATTCACAGTGAGTCATTCACTTTCAGCTTGTTATTTCCGTCTGTGAGCAACACAATCTTAATTTTAGAACAAAGAGTCATTGCTTTCTAAAACCAACATTTGAGAAAAAAACAAACACAGGAATTCCAACACGAACTTTTGCTTATTAGCAAGTAATATTAAACAATTTTTTTGCTTTGATATTACAATTAGGAGAGCCTAGAAATGGTAGTAAAGCATGGAAAGCACAGGCTAGTTGGATTTGTTGACCTTGGAGAGGGCCATGATCTAATGACAAGCCTATCTGGTATGTTGTATTTTTAAACTATTTTGGAAACTGATTAAAACTTTACCTGGTATCAAACCCTAATTTAATTATTACTTTGGCTATTTGTTTTTTTTAGGTAAAACTGAACCACAGTTGGCCACTAATGTCTTGCAATTCATTTTCACAAGTGACAGTGGATTTCGCTTTCCTGTTGCACAGTTCGCATCTGGTGAATGCTCCCCGAGCGATCTTTATTTTAACTTCTGGAAAGGCGTCAGGAAAATGCTGGAGTTTGGTTTCGTGTAAGCTGCGGACTTGTGATGTTTCCTGACATATATGCATGCCTCTAGCATCCTAGAACAACATAACAGTACATTAAATTATCATTTTTTAGAACGACATGCATTAATAGGATAGTGAAATATTGATGACAATTTTAAAACAACAAATGGGGTTGAGCAATCCAGCCAATTCATGTAATTGATGACAGCCAATTTGAATTGCTTTGGAGCACTCTAAAATCTTGACCCACTTATAAGAAAAGATCCTAGCCACATCTTATCAGAATTAAAACTGAACTTACCACTTTCTTTCCGAGTTTAATGTCCTTATCTGGAGATTCCGGAATCGATGCAACCAATATATGAAAATAATTATAATAGTAACAGGCATTCAGAAAAAAAAGTCAGGCCCAAGTTAGCATGGCTGTGCTCTAAGAAAGAAGTTCAGGCATGTAAGTGAATCCCAGGATGCTCAACTTATAATTTTTTCTTTTTTTGGATTACATTAGCACCATCTGAATCAACATGTTCTACATTTTTTATGAATCATAGCAGGGCACTCTTCTTGGAATTACATCTTGAAAATGCTTTCCAAGGTGCTAATGTCAAAGATAGTAAATATAAACTATTTTTCATTGAATTTGGGCAAATTACCCACAACCAAAACATTCACTAACTATAAAACACAGCTATGATAACAAATTAGATTTCAACTCCAATCTAAAAAATTGTCTTTCTAATTCTTTCTGTCCACTTCAGGATATATTGGACTATTATGGATGGAGCAGACTGCAACAGACAGTTTATCAAAATGCACTTTAGAGGAAGGGATCCTGTGAAGGATAAGTTTATAACTTCAAACATCCACACTGGAACACCAATGGTTTTTGTCATGGATCCAAAGGTAGATTTGGGCACAAAATTTATTCCTCTCCAAAGATATAGCAACAATCTATACTTTACTATTTTTCAAAGTCAATTTCAACCAGAAAGAATCAACCAAGGCTATGTGTATAGTAAAACTAAATGGCTACAAAGTGAATAACATTTTGAAACTAGGTTCTTAATGTGTTACATTTTCCCTCACTTGGGAAAAGTATGTCGTTTGTAGGGCTTATTTATAAAGAGGTTTGTTACAATGAGGTTGAACTTTTAAAATTACATTGACATGTACTGTGGTCCTTATACATATTAATTGATTTTTTCTCTCAGCTCAACATAAAGAAGATCAGGAACAATATAGAAAAGAGCAATGCAAGTGGTAAACCCCGATGTCTCATGATAAGGGGCAAGAATGTGACCTGGCAGTATTTCAAAGATGCCTTCAACTGGGATCAGAAGTCCTTCACTCTTCCTCTGCATGAAAAGTTAACTGACCAACATTTCAATCTTGACCCAGCCTCAAAAATGAGAAGTCATTTAGCCGAAGATGTACTTGACGATAAGATGCTATTTTTAATGCAGGTGAAAGACAGTTCAAACCTAAGCTTTGATTTACGTGCCATTATTAGGTGAGATTTGCAGAGCAGTTTCCTATTGGAAATACTGTAATTGCTACAAGCTGTTGAAGTGACTGAAGGTGCGTAGTTTGTCAAGACACGACATTGAAATGAACCCTCTCAGAAAGAAATAACCCACAATTAATGAAAAAACTATATCAATTAAAAAACTATATCAACATATATTAATCAACAAAATCAGGATGAAATTTCTTACGAAGTTAAAATATTGTTGTATCAATCTTTTGAATTAATAAACATTTGAAGGTTTCCTTTTCTATGATGATTATTTCAACAGAAATACCAAGAGAACATGATTGGACAAGGAAAAGACAGCTCTCACCTCGACAGCACAATATCATTGTTGGTTCATACATCCAAACTGGTTAATCTTTTTAGTGACAAACTAGTGATCAGATCAAATGGAGATCCTCGCCTTGGACAACTTAATCATTTTCACAAATTTATGAATGATTGGAGAAGTGAAAGCTCAGAAAACAACAATCAATTTGTTTCTTCCAAACTATGGTTTGACTTGCAATCTATGTGCCTGGGTTTTGGTTCCATGGTTGCAGTGAAACAAGCACAATTTCCACAATCCATAATTAAACCTGCAATAGTCTACCAGGATGGTGTAGAAAATCACTTTTGTCAAGTATGGTCATGTAATGGTCAAAATAACAATCCAACCTATCTGCAACAGGAATCAACACAGAACTCCATTCGTTTTGGCCAAACGACCATTAGCCCCAAAAGCAATGTTGGAGCAGGTAATGAACATTCTTCTTCAGCTTGTTCAATGCCAACCGGAAAAAGGCGCAAAACCGCTAAAACTGAGTAGAGTGTAATTTATTTGCCTTGACTGAATGTTCCAATGGAGCTACCTGCTATCCTGAACCGCATACGCAGTCCACCATGTTCTTCATCATGCACTGTCTCTACGACCTGGAACTCCCTGTCTTCCACTGGAGCAGTAAACGGTATTGATCTTGTCCCCTTTAAGGCTTCAATGAGAGTTTTAGCCAATTCTATCTTGGTATCACGCCGTCTGACAAGGACCTCATCGGCCTCACAAAGCAACAGTAATTGGGCTCTTGTATAAACACGGGCAAAGACACTTGGGTCATCATTGTACTTCCCAATAAAATGTATCAGCCGCCCATGCGAAGAAACCATCTCTTCTGACCGGTCCTTGAGAATATCCTGTCAATAAAATACACATGTGCATTCGGTAAATGTTGTGGTTCAATTTGCTAGTTTTTCCATACTTTATACTTACTGCACAACCGCATACATTTACTTTACAGGCAGCAATTTCATCATTAAACATTGCATTTCACACAAATAGTTGTTATGAATGGAGGCATAAAATGTATCCATAATAAGTGTATGGGGCTGTGCCGACATCTAACCTTTTATTTCCCTTTGTGTTTAGGAATAAAAATGCTTAATAAATAGAGGATATTACATGGCCGATTCATAATGAAGATTTTCACAAATTCTTTATACAATAGGTGAACGTTACCGGAAAACCGGAAACGAAAGGTTCCATGCACAGTTTCAGTTCAATTTACACAGGTTTGATCTGAAAACATTCTCAGTGTCGAGAATTATTAAATTTATTCTAAAGCATAAGAAACGATTTAATTAGAAGTTGGAATTTTTCCCAAGTATTTCTCCTTCCCATTCTACAAACAGTTCATTTGATTGTCCTCGAATTTCTGTAATCGCGGACCTTCGTTCTGCTAGTGATAATCTAGCCGTTGATTCACTAGTCTTGCTTGTTTCAGTTGTTTAGGACTGAGTCTTATTTCCGCAAAGAGATCGAGGAAGAGTGCCTGGCAAATTGTTTACAATCAAAGATTTGTGACTCGTGTCTCTCCAACTGTTTTTACACACCTTATAAGTTCACCTGCGCTTAACGAGTGTCACTCCACAGAATGTCACTGATAACCACTGTGATAACACGTTATCAATTATCAAATCTACCGTATGTTTTACGTCATCCTTAAACCATCTCTTACTTGCGGGCGCGAACAATAGAAAACGTCATCATTAACCTACTATAGCGATTCCTCGCGGCCCCTCTGACAGTACTGTAAGTGCTTTCCTTAATTTGCGCGCGAGTTACTAGACTGCTTCCTCGGGAGTTCGCCTTCTGAGCGAAATCCCTGCCGGAGCAATAACGTGTTTATTGTCACCGGAGTCACTAATAGCCTCCAAAAAAATAGCTTTTAAAGTCGAAGTCATATCCAAGACGCGAGTTAATTCTCAATGCCCAATTACGAAATACTCTCAGTGGGAACCCCTTCATGTAAAGGTACACTAAACGGAATCCCACTTTAACTTGCGAGACAAGGTTGTTGCTCGAAAATTACAGTACACTTATTTTACCTCGAATGACACGCTGTCTGACTTCTCTTGATTCTTTTTCTGTCGCTGAAGGACTCGTTTTCTCAATTCTGAGCTCTTTTTAAGTTGGAAGCTTCTTCGATAGTTCCGCATGTACTGCGCTGTTCCCATGTGCAAATAGCGTTCAATGACAGATCCTAAAATATTTCGTATTAAATCCTAAAAAAGGAACATGAATGAGTTACAATAAGTGAAAGAAAATTAAAGATAGCAAAATTCCAAGTGGATTGATTGTTTTACGATTATCTGCAACTTCTTTTCCTTAACATCCTCGCTCTTGAAACACTGTTGCCATTTCAAAGTTATTTCGTCGTCTTGGATCAGCTTTCGGTGGGCCTCTTCGACCATATTTGCCGCCTCTCTGCGCAATATATGATCGTTTAACAAATGAACTCGTTGTTTCTCTAGGTACATGAAGAATTTGTAGACAGCATCCTCTATATGTATCAGTCCTCTTTCTCTATATTGCCGTGCCTCTGTCACCTGCAGGGTGTCTTTGTGCTGGCTCTCCTCCTCCAACACTGCCACAGATCCAACAAGGGATTCTTCAATAAGTTCGCAAATACTGTGGTGTCGCCGCACTGATGCCATTGTTTCGCAATTTTCAGAAGAGATATTGACCCGTACGTACCTTCTTGATTTCTGAAGAATTTTTCGAACTGCCCAGCCACCAACAAGACGAACTTTTGCCCTACCAGCTGCTGACATGTCGTCTACGTTAAACGCAACCACTTCTTGTTGGTATTCCTTTCTTGAAAGTTGTAAAAGGTGCTCTAGGAATTTGAAGTACACTGCCATCCCTAGATCGACACCGATAGACCGCTGGGCTGGTATACAAGGGGAAACGTTAAATAAACTCGATACATGTCGAGAAAATTCTTCCGAATTAAATACTTGATGCACTTGCCTGTAGCAGTTGTGAAATCACTCCTTGTCACTTTGATGTCTAGATCGTCGGGATTTTCGATTATGTGGTTCTCTATGGCTACGAATGAATGGAACCACATAATGTCTATAAACGTCTTCACATTTTTGGTGAAGCGTTCTTCCAGCAACAAGTCCACGTTCTCGTTGATGACTCGGCTGAATTCGGAAAAGGGCGTGTTCACTTTCAATTTTACCAACAGAGGTTTTGCGTCCAAACCTTCCAAGGCGGGTGTGATAGTTCTGACTCGTGTTTTTCCATCTGTTCAAAAGCTGAGCGACACTTACCTCGAGATCAGTGTCCTCACGCTCGAAATAGGAATTGCACCTTTCCATCTGATACCTCTATAGGAAACTCGTAATAATCTTCAGCATCCTCTGAATCCTCAACCGCAAATCTATAGCGATCTTGGACATCAAAAAAGCTTTCGTCCCTGGTGACCTTTCGTCGGCGACACCTCAAATCGGCACTGTGTTCACCGGTAACTCGAGAACACTGCATTATAACTTCGTGGTCTGCTGGTATTACTTGAGTTCTATTGAACCCTATGACTTGCAGCGTGGTAGCTGATCTCACACGAGACATGGAAACGTAAACTAGACCAGGGACAAATTCTTTCGAGAAACGCACTACTACGGCCGGGAGTTCTAGCCCTTGCGATTTGTGGCATGTAACCGCGTATCCTGGTGTGAGTGGAAACTGATGAACAGCGCCAATGGTTTCTCCCTGATGGTTCCTTTGAAACCACGTTACACGTTCAATAGCAACAATATCAACTTTCTCAAAATAAACCAGCAACTTGTTGCCCTCTGCCATTTTCTTCAAAGTTTCCATACTCCCATTTTTGAGGTCTTCTGACTTGTTCCAAAGTAGCATCACTTTACATTCTTTTTTCAAAAAAAGTGATCTCTCGCCTGGCCAGTTCACCTTCTCACCGTCCCCTTCGTATGTTGCGTCGAAACGCATTAAATCTCCCTCAAGTTCGTCCATTTTCATCCGATTGAACAACATTACCGCATTCTTTTTAAAAAAGATATGCGTGGCGGCGATTTTCAGTTGCGGACTCAATTCCCTCGATAACTTTTCAATAAACACAGCCGTTTCGTTCGAGCATACGCCGAATCTGAAATCAGCTAAAGCGTCCAAGAACAACTTGTTGCTTTCAGATTGGCGCATTACCTTTGTCAGCTGAAAACGATGTGGGACGGCGAATTGAAATACTGCGGATTTAAAGATAAAATCCCCGGAATCGAAGGTACTCGGCACTGGCCGCAGCTGTAGGAATTCTCCTACGATTATGAGTTGTTTCCCTCCAAAGGGTAACTCATAATTTTCTTGGTCGGCTAAATTGTGATGCAAAGCGTTAACAAGTTCAAGCATCGTTGAACTGGACATGCTCGCCTCGTCCCAAATTACAACGTCCACATCATGTACTCTCTCGCACATCCTGCCATCACTTGATGCACGAGTAATCAGTAGATCGGCCGGCAGATCTGCAGCACCAAGACCGTAAAAAGAATGGACTGTCGAAGCGACGCCTGCATCATACACTTGACAAGCAATTCCACTCGAACAAATCACGGATACTCGCAGACCACGCTGTTGACAATCATCTCGAATTGCGGTAACCATTCTTGACTTTCCTGTTCCAGCTTGACCGGTGACGAGGAGGTTGTGCCCACTCTTGGCAATCTGAAAAACTTCAGTTTGCTCAAGAGTAAGATTTCATTTCGTTAACAACGTGAAAACCACGAAGTTTCTGGACGTTTCACGTAGTCATGCAAAACAACAGCAAGGAAATGTACGAAAGCGTGCTGCAATTAGACCTATTGTTGTATTTCACAGTTCTCGTTGCCTTCGCCGCTCAACATTACACGATTTTATATTTAGTAAGAACAAACTATAAATATGATCTATGTATTAGCGCCACTTAGAATGCATTTTTAGAGATCTTAATTACCCTGGACAGCGTTAAAAGTGTTTTAAATGCATTTAGGAAGAAATCGTCGTTGGAGGCCCCTGAGTTTTGAAAATAATAATAATCATAACCAATAAAAAAAAATATCGCGCACATAACTTTTTTCCTCACCATAGCTTCCATTCAGCCGCATAGCCGAGGCTATAATTTGCCTTTTTTCTAGGCGGCAAATTGTCGTCCTCCCTCGTCACTTTGGACAACATATTGTCGGTGTTGTGGAAATAACTGTTTATTTCATTACGGACGTTCGCGCGGTCGCCTTTTGTTTTCTGGTGAAAACTAGGGACCTTAAGCAAGGTCGACGAGAAGCCCTGAGGACGACGACCGGAAGTGAAAATACCGCTTAACGCCCTACTGCGCATGCTTCACGCGTCGTCCACGCGAAGTTCAGAACGTGAAAACGCCATCTTTGCCGTTCAGGCCGAACGTCGCGAGAACGTGAGTATAAATTTATGTATTTTCATCTTGTTTAGGAAGACAATTTATGTTTGGCTTTTGAAATGAAAGCTAGATATTCCTTAGTTTCTAATCTTTTGCACAATATTGAATCTTACTAGGATTTTGCAACATGAAAACTTTGCAAACAGTCAAAAATTCGGGCTTTGTGAGATTTGCATCTTGTCAGCAAAACATTTAAGTTAAGAAGATGAAATCGAGAACTAACAAAGTGATTACTTGTTTTGGTTTATTTACCTATATGCAATCTTTACAATTGTTTTAACTTGAGCAGTAAATTTTCATGCCGTTGAGGTCATTTTAGAGTCTAATTTTCCGAAAAATTAACTTATATTTTGATGTGAATTTCCTTAGAATGGAGTGGACAGAACTTCATGACTTGAATCTTTGCGAAGAAGTTTTAGTTGTTGAACCTTGGAAACATCCTTACCGTAGTAAGGAAAGAGGAGATTCATGGAACGAAATAGCAAACAATTTAAATGCCT